TGTATATTTGTCGTGTGTACAATTCATTACTGGAATAAATTTCATAGTTTTATCATTCTAAAACCCTCATACACAAACAGACCTAGCAAGGACCACTTAGTGGGAAAATCGAAATACAAAAGTGACAAAGCCCAACTCCACAAAACTTCAATAAAAATTCTACATTTTATTATTTTGATTTTAAAACGTGAAAGCAATTGGTAAGTTGTGTACACATAATCAAATAGAATTGACAGATTCTAGTTTATAGATGCTTTACTGTTTTTCAAGGAATATGTGATCAAAAGTTTTTTTTTTTAAAGTGAACCTAGCTTCTTTTTCCTTGCTCACTGATGCTATCACATCTCATCTATCAGACCTCTAAGTAGAATTTTAAAAGTGGGGTACTCTCTCACGCCCGAGAACTGTGTCATTAGCATATGAATGTGTAACGGATTGTTTGAAGTAACAATTAAGGGAACAATGCATAAAGAATTCGAAAAGCACTACCAACACCTGGGAGACTCAGATTGAAAAGGGCTTTCTTCGAACATCTTGATGACTTCATATCTGAATTCCTTCTCAGAGAGGTCCCTAAGGTGGCTAGCTCCTACTGAGGCTTCTTGAGAGATTTCCTCATGGTCTCCCTGTGGTGGGGATTTGCGTTGTTTCTTCATGTTGTTGTGTATGTGGAGGGGTAATATTTGTTGGTTTGAGTGAACAACCTGCGGCCGCGTGAGCTGTGTCCCGCTGAAAATTAAGCCACGCCCACTTTTTAAAGCCACGACCACCTCTGAAGTGGCCACACCTCCGCGGATACCTGCTTTTTGTCCAGGAAGTAAAGACTGGGTGGGGGACAAGGAAGCAGCTCTGATGGGCGGCCAGACAGAGGGATGCAGATCCCCTTTTCCTCCAAGCGTGGGGGAGGGGGGCTGCAGACACTTGCGTGGTGGGGTTCCAGTCCCAGGTCAGAGGGGAGGCGCAAAGACCAACCTCCACTCCTGGGAATATATCCCAGAGAGGCAAAAAAGTATAGCCGAAGTGACATCTGCAATTGTCTGTTTATTGCAGCACTCTTTACAATAGCCAGAATCTGGAAAAAACCTGAGTGCCCGAGAGCAGATGACTGGTTGAAGAAACTCTGGCACATTTACACAATGGAGTACTATGTAGCTGTTAGGAAAGACGAAGTCATGAAGTTTACATACAAGTGGTACTACATGGAAAGTATCATGTTAAGCGAAATGACTCAGAAAGAAAGGGATAGACATAGAAAGATTGCATTCATCTGGGAAACATAAAGTAACAAAATAGGAAACTAACACCCAAGTATGGCAGAGATTAGTATCAGGAATTTTACTCAATGACCCGGAGGACAACCACACATGTTAGGGGAAGGGGGAGCTCAGAAAGAGAAGGGAACACCAAATAAAGGGTGTTGGGAGGATCCGCCCATGATGGGAGAGCATGCTGAGGGTAGACTGACGACCAAGCATGATTGCCACTCAATGCCTCTTTTGCTGACCATGGCACTCAAAGGGAGAGAGAGGGAAATGCCCTGCCACAGAGGCAGGGTGGGATAGGGGCTGGGGGGGGAGGGGATGCTGGGATCCGAGGTGGTGGGAAATGCGCACTGGTGGAGGGATGGGTGTTTGATCATTGTATAATCGAAACCCAAGCACAAAAATGGGTAAGTCTACAACTGTACCTCATGGTGCCTCACTATTAAAAAATAAATAAATTAATTAATTAATTAAAAAAAAAGAAAAGGACTTTCTTAAAGTAAACAATTAAAAGCCTGGGACAGTTGCTCACCGTGTACTGATAAAGCACCACAAAGAAAGCTAAAACCTGCTTATACTTTGATGCCATCTTCTAGACAAAATCTTTAAAACAAGACTTGTTTATTTTGATGGGATATGTTATTTTTTTTTAATTGAATCACCATGAGAGCAGTCACAAAGCCTTTCAGTTAAGTCTCGGTTGGTCAAACAATGATCAAACACCCGTCCCTTCACCAGTGCACATTTTCCACCACCAAGAACCCCAGTATACCCCCCCCACCCCACTCGCCTGTGTGGCAGATCTCCACTCTCTCTGTATGTTGATCACATTCACTATTATGACAAAAAACCCAACAATATTATTTGGAGTTTTCCCCAACATTCAGACCTGCCAAAATGATATTACTAGATAATTTGTTTTCTATTGCTGATTATGAAGAGCATATGATGTCGTGTGGCTGCAATAGCGGTCATGCAATTTGAATTTCTGATATTTTAGTAATAAACCAAGAGGGATTACTGCCAAAAGCCCCTGGGTTCTGAGATTGGTTTGTGTGCCTCTGGGATCATGGTCGTTCAGGAGCCAGAGGAGGCATTTGAGTGTAGCAACTCAGAGCATTGTCATGGCGGGAAGCAGAACTGATTCCACCCCCCATCTTATGAGACCCCACATGCCTCGTCAATACAATCTCATACCTGGCTGTTCATTAGGCTGTAAAAGATGGAGGCCACCATGCTGCCACCACAAGAGGTGGGGGGGAGCGACAGGCAGAGGGACAGACACCCTTCGCCTCCCACAGCAGCATAACACTGAAGTTAAATGCACAGTCCAGATACATTTTGATTGGGCATTATATTTTGCTCAGATTTTCCCAACATCATTAGAGCTTGTCTTTCAGGGACAAACGCTAGATCATTTACTTTCCATTGATCACTTTGCATATCAGGAAATGTCGCGCTCGGAAAATAGTCCTGGTACCCTCAAACTGGAGCCATGCTTGTAGAAGCTCGTGGTAGCTGGGATTCCATCTGGAGAAGGCGGGGAGACAGCACCTACTCCATCTGGGATGTCCTGGTGATATTGGCCCAGTATAGGGCCCAGAGAATTCTCCAGTAGTTGTGGGACCCACCAGCAAGTTTTCTTCACTGCTGTGTGTTGTAAGATGGTGCTGGGGGCGGGTTGTGGGCGTGACTTCTGGAATCAGAGGCTGCCTGGGAACCGGGGCGGAACTGCTCGGCCCTGCGTTCCCATGTGGTTAGGAAGGGATATGTGTTTAATGCGGGATTTGTACTATATTTGTTTTAAAATCACTAAGCTGAATTTGGTGCGTTTTTTAATTAAAAAATAATTTACAGTTACAAACTTACACACTTTTGTACTAAGCTGCATTTTTATCTCAAAACGTCTTACATTTAAAGATGTATTTAAATGCTCTGATGTATTTATATCAGAACCATCGGAAAGAGGACAAAAATCTAATCCCTGAAAACATTGTAAACTTTCAGGGACAAGATAGCTAGGGAAAATCAGGCACACATTTGATTCAATATAGTTTACTTGTCCAAATAAATCTTGTTGTTTTTTAATTTTGTTTCTCTTAAAGGTATGTTTTTCTACTAGAGGTCCTTGTCAGGTAAAACATTTAAAGAGAGTCAGCAATAACTCAGGATTTTTAGGGATCTTTAATACTTGGAAAGCCTATGGGAACATGCATTCAAGTTTCCAATTTTGTCACTTACTCCCCAGAGATACATCATCCCCACAGGTATTGCCATGGCATCAATTAACTTATTCAAATTGGAAAATTTTTTCCTTTGTGATTTTTGATAGACTGTTGAAGTTTGAGTCAACTGGCCTCCAAAGCCATTTCTAATGTCCTTTGGGCCATATTTCTTGATCATTAAGAAACAGTTGCCCCAGATTTAACCTTAAATGACTACCCTGCTATAGAACAACTCTCTGAGAAAGTAATTTAAAAGCCAAATATTTAGTTTGTAAATGGGAAAATAAATATATGTGTTAATATTAATGCAAACATTATTCATAATACCCCCAAAGTAGTAGCAACCTAAGCATCCATAGTAAAAGTAGACTTATTCATTGTCAAGCTAAAATTACACTGAACCAAAAGCTAGACAAGCAATGAAGACTATTTAAAGCTGTAGTGATGTGGAAAGAAATCAGAACAAAGTCAAAATACAGCACCAATGAGACAGGGAAGATTAGTAGATTTTGTTTTGGTATTGCAAATTATTATCAGAGGTTAGGTAACATGTTTATAATAGTGTTAATTGCCAACATACCATCCCTATGTCCTGGGTGTGCAAGGGGCTCCAGGAAAACTGAATTATGTAGTGATACTCTGTGGCTGCCACTCATTTTCCTTTCTATAGCCCTGGGCCCTCTTTCTGGATCTAAAACTACTCTCTGTAACTAAAACTACATCATATTTTCATGAATTTCCTGCTGTACTACTCCACTCAAACATCCCTGTGCTCGAAGAGAGAAATTCACCTATACCATCTAATACATAATTTTTCTCTCAGTCAATATACATGCTTTTTAAATTTCCATTACTTGAAGTTATTTGATTTGATTTTGAATGACAAGGGAAATAGAATTTTAAAACATGCAGTCTCTGGTTCTTCTAGCGGCATTAAAATTGATACTTGGTTATATGCCCCCTTATCAATGCCATCCAATTTTAATATAAGAAGCTTATGAAGGGGGCCAGAATGATAATACAACAGGTAGGGCATTTGCCTTGCATATGGCTGACCTGGGTTCTATCCCCATCATCCCTCATGGCCCCCCCAAGCTCCACGAAAGGTGATCCCTGAGTGCAGAGCCAGGAGTACTCATGAGCATAGCTGGGCGTGCACTCCCCAAAACAAAGTTGTTGTAAACCCACATATTCCTTTGTGTTTCTGCATCTTGTCAATAGAATTTCAGGTTTTCGATTTAAGAAATATTCAGAAAGATCTGGAGATAGAATAAGCTGTTTGTTCTGACTCTCATCTTCAGAATAAGTCCTTCTAATTACCTTACTGCTTTTTCCAGAATATTTGGTTTGTTTATGTCTGAACTTTAGCATTCTTGGCCTGTGCCTTCAAATTAATACTAAATACCAGAACAGATATATATATAATGGTGGTGAAAGTGAGAGGAGATACTATAATTGAGGTTAAGAGAGTCATTTTTCTGCATAATGATCGTTTGCTTTTTATTGTTTATAGATTGGGCTTATGGATACTACAGACAACAGAGAAAACTTGTTGAAGAGATCGGATGGTCCTATACAGGTAAACAACTTAAATAATGCTGCTCAATATAAACTGATGTTTTTTATTTTTTTAATATGTAAAACTTTCTGATATTGCATTATTTTAACATCTCCTGTGGATATTCAGTAATTCAAACACACTATATAAAATAAATTCTAATAGATTTGTTAGTAAATTGATAGTATAGAATATATTGATATCAGACTTACCAGACTTAGATTTTAATCCCAGGTATCTATGGTTATGTTCCTTTAGGTTATATGTGTATTGTGTTACTATGTAATTAGGCAGAATCATCTTGCTCATAACTCAAGATTTGTTGAGAGGGGGAAGATTGAAATTATAGAGTGGGTAAGGCCAGAAGCTTACCAAAGAAAGTTTTAAAGAATAGATTATTCTACTTATCTTGATGCTTCTTATGGTCTTGGAAAATTCTCTGTTCCTAGAATATCAAACTAGAGTATTCTGGCACTGCAACTAACTTGACTATTAATTAAAATTAAATTTTTAATTAAAAGTTAACTAAGAACATCTTAATATCTTTCTCATCGTTTTACCACAAGCCACTTAAAAATATTATATAGCACATCAAAGAACTATAAGAATCATTTAAGCTTAGGTTGTTTCTAAAAGATTACATAATACAAGGGGTGAAGATATAAGACAAATCCTTGATGGCTTCCAGATGGGTGGAGAAATAGAAGTGAAAGGGGAGGAGAAGTTATTTATTTCTTTCAGTTGTGTGTGTATTTCTTCTGTAGACTAAGAACAACTTTTCTATTCAGTATGTATTCTATAATTATGCTATGAAATGAAAGGTTTGGTAATACAGTCAACAATCCCATTTGAAAGTTATTATAAGAAGGTGAGCAAGGCTTCTTTGTCATTCCACAATGAACTGTGAGTCAGAATGATCAGCACTAAAATCCAGTTCTTCCCATAGAAACTTCATCTTACTTTAGTGTATCAGAAAACACTCCTTGTCACTTTTTTTTAAAATCTAAATAGACATCATTCCCTGGGAGAAAAAAAACTTAAGTCATTTAGTCTTTTTTCTTTAAATACTATAAGCATGTAACTCATAATTATCAGATAATGTTAAGACCTTTCTTCTGTTTCATTTCTTAGATCTTTGTAACCTCCAGTAATATTAAATCCTTAGAAATAGATTTTTTTCAACTCTCTTTTAGAAGTAGTCACTATTAAAATACTCTTTATTTTCTGGACTTTAAAAAGTATGTTTGTTTCATTTTCACTATAGTGGAAAGCTACTTGAATGAAGATATTGTGCTTATATATGGTCAAGTGTTCTTAAATTGAGACACCTTTAAAGTTTAATTAAAGGGTCGTTGGCTACAGATAGGGTCACACAGACATCACTGTGTTGGACACTTCACCCTAACTCTCCATAGTAAGGGAGGATTAAATACAGAACTGATCCTATCTCTTTAAGTAGAATATTCTGTCTACACAGTAAATGTCAACATTTCCATGCCAATAAGTATTTAGCACAGAAAATGTGATTCATGGTAGGCAAAAGAGCCATAAAATAAGGCTGTGCATGTGTTATTTGATGTTTGGCATTTATTTTTAAATACATTTAGGCTTAGCGTTTTATTTTTCTTACTTAAGAGAATACAGGACAAACAGAACTCAAGGAGGGAAAAGGATTATATGGAATAATAGCTGGTTTCTGTCTTGCCCATGCCTTTATTTTCTTCTAGAGCCAGAAATATCTTTTAAACATAATATTTTTTCTCTATGATGCATCACTCCTAATATTAAACAGATCGCTCATTTCACATTTTCATTGAAGAGGAAAACAGAAAGTTCAAGTACTAGAAGTGCAGGATTTTCCACCTCTATAATAAAAAATACATTTTTAAATGGACATAGAGGTAAAGCCTGGGAACATTCCCAGCACCCTGTATCCCTGAAAATGGATTTCTGAGAGGATATAAGAGGCAGAATTCTTTTGTGTCTTACTAGATACTATTTATATTATGCCATTTTTTTGGCTTTTTGGGTCATACCCAGCGATGCTCAGGGGTTACTCCTGGCTCTGAACTCAGGAATTACTCCAGGCGGTGCTCAAATGGGATGCTGGGAATCAAACCCGGGTTGGCTGCATGCAAGGCAAACGCCCTACCCTCTGAACTGTCACTCCGGCCCCTCTGCCGTTTTTCAAAATGAGTAATGAAATAAAAGGTTTTAAACTTGGATTAGCTTTAGGTAAAAGCAAGGCAGTTGGAGAAAAACCACCACTTTTTGCTCACCAGTTAGAGTCAGATCTCTATTTGGTTAGTTGTGGGGATAGAGGATATCACAAAAATCAGATTCTAATGTCAGACTTTTGGGAAGTCACTAACATGCAGACCAACCAGCTTGCTTCATTGCTCTGTATTTCAGCTTTTGTATCTTTCAGAAGTTTTTCAGAATGTCCCACTTAATTCTACATGGATAGAATAAATGCTTTACGTTGTTGTAGGGAACCTCTCTTAGTAAGTATACTACAAATCCAAGTGATTATTATTCGACAATGCCTTGACTTAAGTCCAAACAGATTAAACAAGTCTAGACGTCTCTGCTAATCTCACAAGAGGATTAGGAAGAGTTGGTTTGCTTGAATGCATATTTTAGATAGGTATTTCCTACCACCTGTATATTTTTAATTTTTTATTTATGAGTTATCATCTCTATAAATGTTTCCTGTACTAAATATGAATTTTTCTTTATAGAGTCTGAAAGTGTTCAGTTAAGTTATATAAAATTCTAAATGTTTTTGTATGGCACTTAGTATAGAACATCAACATCAACAAAAAGATATGACTATAGTGTAGCATCATGAGTAAGAACAGTTGCTACAGTTATCTAGCAGCAAAATTGAATAGTAATAAGTATTTGTCATTGAGCAGAGATAAACATACATAGCCTGGAGTCAAGCCTCATCACTGTCGTGTTAACAGCGTCTTACTTGAAAAATTAGTGCTCAGAGTTTTGTTCTTTATGTCAGTGTGTGTTGCTTTTTCCCATTTTCTCTTTCTCTTTTTTTAAATTTCACTTTCTGTATTATTTATCCTGGATCATTCTGTTTCATGAACTATATATTTTGGCAAGAAAGAGAAAACCAAGTGAGAGACTATTACATGATTAACTTTTTTTATTGCGTCACTTTGAGATAGACCCTTACAAAGCTGTTCCTGACTGGATTTCAGTCATACAGTATTCCAACACCCATCCCTCCACCAGTGTACATTTCCAAGTACCAGTGTCCACAAGTTCCCTCCCATACATAGTTAAAGCCCTAATATTAAGCCACAGATTGTCTATCAGTAAAATTTACTTATATGCTTTTAAGTTTTATAAAAAATATCATTGTGATTATTTTAAATTTACTTTGTCATCTTCCTATTTTATGAATAAGTGAATAGCAACCAAAGACAAAGCTTATTTATCTGCTTTGCTGTTTCCTCTATGCTAATTCTAACTTCAAAGATTTCCAAAGAGCACAAAAATGAAAAAAATGTAAATGACTTTTTCTATTCCTACTTTTTAATTATGCAAAACTTACTTTCACAACTGATGCACAAACTTAAAAAATGAATCTGAAATATGTACAGATATGGATAAAATTGAGTCTTATTTCCTTTTTTGGTGGCTATCTGCATGTATACAACTCTCTAGGAAACCTGTTAATTCACTGTTTTTACCATGTAGTATCCAGGTAAAAGACTATTTAACTTGTCACACCTTTCCTGACTGTACTGAGGAGGAACTGAGAGGTGTTTTCTGACCTGTAGCACTGACCTCTGAGCTACTGTAGACTGTACAGGAAACTTCCTATCATGAAAAGCTCTAGAACACTAACAACAGCTTTCAGATTCCTTATGTAAACTGTGTAAGAGTGCAATACTTTGGGAAAGGTAGAGAACTCATACCTACTTAGAGAAAAGTTCAGAGCAGTAGTGGGAAAGCTAGGGAGCTAGAGTAGAGAGAGAAGCAACATAGAGCCTCTGGGAAATAGTTAGAGCTGCGGAAGAAGCCAAGGACAGAGCAAAGCCTGACACCAATACACTTATATTTCTCCCGAATGAACCAGGATACCATTGAGGACACTTATTGTGTCTCACAAATTGCTTTTCCCCTCTGCTGTAGTGTGATCTCACTTTGCATTCATTTCTCAATCCAATATCATTTTCTTTATTTTTTTATTAAAAAAATTTTTAATAGTGAGACATCATGAGGTACAGTTGCAGACTTACACATTTTTGTGCTTGGGTTTCAATTATACAATGATCAAATACCATCCCTCCACCAGTGCCCATTTCCCATCACCATGGATCCCAGTATCTCTCCCACCCCCCATCCCTCCCATCCCCCCCTGTCTCTGTGGCAGGGCATTCCCCTCTGTTCTCTCTCTCCTTTTGGGTGTTGTGGTTTGCAAAAGAAACATTGAGTGACAATCATGTTTGGTCTATAGTCTACTTTCAGCATGCTTCTCCCATCCTGGGAGGATCCTCCCAACACCTTTATTTGGTTTTCTCCTCTTTACTAGATCATTTTCTTAACTTATTGTGAATCAATATCTCATGGTTGATTGTCTGAAGCACTAGCAGTTCAGTCACATTTTCTACATCATTTACCAGAAATTATATACTTTTTAAAAAGTCAGGACAATTATACAGATTACTATAGCTTTGATATGCCTTTAGAATATGTTTCCAAACTGTTACCCACCTCCAGAACTCAAATCTTTCCATACATAATCAATAATTAGACAAAAGGATTCCCTATTCTAGATCTAGATGTTCTAAGTGACTCTCTGTTAATTTGAAAGTCTTCATTCTCTTCTGAAAAGAAAACTTTTTGTCTTTGAGAGCACCTTCTATTTTTTTTCTTTTACCAGAAGCTACCGAGAGTATTCGATATGCCAGACATAGTAACAACAAAGTCTCCAATGGAGACGTTACTGGGCCCGCTCAAGCAAATCGATGATCAACGGGAGGGCCTTTACCTTT